TTGACTCTCAGACCAAAAGTGCAGCCCCTATGTCCCCTCCGTGGCCTGAGCATGATCTCATCTTTCCAGCCCTGGGGAGTGGGTGCTTTCCCGCACTGCGGCTGGTGGGCTGGCTGTGGGATCCTGCAGACAGAGCCTGTGATCTTTGGGAAGCTCCTGTAAGTAAGCCTGAGAGCCTCGGTTTTCCTTTCTTTGAAGATTTTATTTCTTTATTTGAGAGAGAGAGAGAGAGAGCACAAGTATACAGAGTAGTAGGCAGAGTAAGAGAGAGGAGAAGGCTCTCCACTGAGCAGGGAGCCCGGTGTGGGGCTCGATCCCAGGACCCTGGGATCATGACCTAAGTCAAAGGCAGACGCTTAACTGACTGAGCCACCCAGGCACCCCGAGCCTCAGTTTTCTTAACTGTAGAAGATAATAATAATAATAATAATAATAATAACTGCTCTCTTTCTGGGGTTTTGTGGGAATTAGAGAAAAGATGGTGTACACAGTGAACCACAACCAGTTCAGTCCTAGGAACTATTAGTGAAGGTCGGGAGTCTCGGCCCCCATTCCAATGTCTACCGGCTCAGTAGACTTGGGCCGTCCTTCACCCCTCTCAGCCTTGGTTTCTTAATCTGTTAAATGGGTAGAAGCAACTCAAATATTTGCAGGGGTGGATGGGAGGAGGCCCTGATGAGAAGTGTGGGTGGGTCGTTAGTCCCGTTACTGTACCCAGGCCCCTGCGGGAGAGAGGTGTCTTCCCCAGAATAGCATTCCCAGAACTGTCAGACTCGCAGAGACCCAGCTCTCGGACAAGGACGCCGCAGGACCGTCCTGGCTGCTTGACCTCCCTGCTCTGCACTCCAAGTGGCTATTGTGAGGCCAACAGCTGTCTCTGCCAAGTGGCATCTCTGGGGCACAAAGAGGAGTGGAGAGGGCAGGGCACACTGGCTCATTGTCCTTGGGGCTGAGCAGCCGCAGCTGGGGATCCCCGGGGGTTCCTCGGACCTCCACACCATGGCTGTCCAGGCTCCCGGCCCATCCTACAGACTTCGAGCAGCCCTCCAGCAGCACCTGAGCAGCACAGAGCCTCTGTCTCCTACAGCGCCTTTTATTGGGGGCCCCTAGCAACAGTAAGCTTAAGGAGGGTGATCTTGGACCTGGAGACAGGATGCTGGTCCTCATTCCTCATGGCACCGACCCATTGGGAGGACAACTCTGATACAGCCGCCCCCTGGTATCAGGCACCCACATGTGCTTCCCACGGCCAGCACTCCAGGTGAGGTCACGCTGGGGGTCCTGTTTCACTGGTGCAGAATCTGGGACTCACAGGGTTGACTAAATGGCCCAGGATCACAGGCTGGGGACCAGCAAAGTTCAGACTTGAACCCTGCCTCCCTGGCTTGCTCAATGTCAGTCTATACCCTTTGCATGAACTCAGAGCACCTGAGTGGGCGTGGGGCTGATGTACAGACACCAGGGAGGAGGGCCTGGGCACACTCAGCCCAGAAAAACACGGGCTGCCATTGACCAAAGACCAGGGGGACAGGCACGAGGACCTCCCCCCAGTTCCCAGCAGCCCGAAAATTCTAGAGCTCCCCGCGCTCCCGCTTTTCAGAGAAGTACATTTATAGAGGAAAAGGGGCAGAGTGATGGTAATTCAGGACATCTGCAGCCAGAGTTAAATGAGCGTCTCATAATGATGGTGATTTAAAAATTAACGGGCGCCTGGGTGGCTCAGTTGGTTAAGCGACTGCCTTTGGCTCAGGTCATGATCCGGGAGTCCCGGGACTGAGTCCTACATCAGGCTCCCTGTTGAGCGGGGAGTCTGCTTCTCCCTCTGACCTCTCCCCTCTCATGCTCTCTCTCTTTCTCTCATAAATTAGAAAAAAAAAAACCAAACACACCACTGTTTGCAGAGCGATGCACGACCACTTCGCGGCCATGACTGAATGAGTCGATGGAAACACAGGTGCTGGGGATACGCTTCAGGGCACAGAGAACTAGGAGTTTTGAGAGGGGACACCCCCCCCCCTCGAACTGGGGCACCCAGCTCCCCACTCCAGCCCCTTCTCTGGGGCATCACCAGGGCTTCTCTGGCCTGGGGCTTGTGCTCTCTCTTTGCACAGTGGGGGTGCTGGCCCACTTGGGGAGCCTTGAGGTGGTTGTGTACATGGGGGCCAACCCCCTGGTCGGCCTGACAAGAAGAGGAGGAAAGGGCTTACGGGGTGGGAGACCCAGACCGCTCCCTGTTGACACCGAACGGCTGTGGGGCCTTGGCAGTGACCTACTTCCGCGTGCGTTCGTTTGCTCGTCTGTGACGGGAGGGAGGGTCCCGTGTCCACGTGGGAGGAAGTCCGAGTCTGCCGGGGCCGCCATAGCAAATCCCCACAGAGATGGCGCCTTGAGACAATGGACACACACTCTCCCGGTCCGAGAAGGTGGTGTGGGCCGGGCAGCCTCCTTCGGGAGCCTCGGAGGGAGAATTGTCCCCCGCCTCCGTCTGGGCCTCTGGGGGTGGCTGGCCAACCTCGGTGCCCCATGGCCGCCACCCAAATCCCGCCTCTCTGCCCTCTCTGCGTGTCCCCAACCCCGTCTCATCTCCTGTGAGGACCCTAATTGCAGGCTGATCTTGTTGGGATCCGGCTGCAAAGATCCAATTTCTAAATCAGGTCACATTCACAGGGACCAGGGGTTAGGACTTGGTCTACCCTTTGCGGGGGGGGGGGGGACAATTCAACCCGCCCCAGAAGGTATTTTGGGGACGCAAAAGTCATGAATGCCAGGTGTTGTCATTCACGTGCCAAGTCGAGGATGGTGCACGGTGGGGAGGTGTGGGGGGCACTCATCTTCGTCTTCGCAGCATCGTCGGTGCACCCCCTGCCGGCCAGGCACACGGGGGTGCCACAGGGAGTCCAGATGGAGGGCGGGACCTTGACCCCAAGAAGAGGGGAGGCTGGTGGTGGATAGAGGGAGGAGTCTGCACTGGGGTCTCCTCCACATGTGGCTCTTGCCAGCGAACCCCTTCCAACCACCAGAGAGCGGGGAAATCTCCAGGGCTCTAATTACTATTTTTATCCTCCCTTACATAGCGGCCTGCCCGGTCTTTCCTCCTCAGTCTAGTCTTCGGGGGGACCTTGTGTGGCTCTCCCAGCCCTTCCGGGGGCACTCTGCTGGTGTCATGAGAGAAAACCAAGCCCCAAAAGACACTCGAGTTTCAAGTCCTGCTTTCTCCTATCTTGTCACCCACACCCTCTGCCAGAAGGTCTAACTGAACCTTGACCACCACCCACCCCCTGCCATGTCACCCCATGCCCTGTGCTTTCACATGGCTGGTCTCCCTTCTGGAACATTCCTTTGTGCCCCTCCCTGCCCCTGCTTAGCACCCCCCCCTTTAGCATTTATCCCTCTGTGATCCCCTCTCATTCCCCTGGACCATAGTGTACTCTGCACTTGACTGGGAGGTCCCTGAGGGCAGGAGGACAGTCTCACCCCCGAGTACCCAGATGCCATCTGGATGTTCAGGGAAGGAAATCATCTAGAGACCCGGGTTTGAATTCCCTCGTCACCGTCTTCCCAAGTGAGTGCCCTTGGCTTCACCAGCCAGCTGAAGCTTGATGTCCTCGTTTGCCTCCCTGGCCGGCCTGGTTGGTCTGTTGACAGACGAATGGGTTTCTGGGACTCCTAATCGATGCACAGGACTAGGGCGTCTACCCCCAGGGGCCCCTGTGATCCAGCCTCCCCCAGCCCGCAGCTCAGCACCCAGCCTCCCGGGGATTGAAGTTGGAGGGAGGCCCGGGCTTCTGCAAACTCTTGGATGCCCTCCCCACCCCTCCCCTGCCCCACCTCAGCTCCAGGTGTCTCTCTCTCCAGCTATTTTCTTTTCGGATCCAGAGTTTAAAAGAACAAGGCGAGCGAGAGCCCTGGGAAAACAAAAGCCAGCAGGCTCCTTCTTGCAGGCCAGCTCGGGCCTGTAGGGTGCTGCCCACGTCTCCCTGCTCTGTCCGGGAAGGAGGGCGTTGGGTTCTGTGGGTTCCACTGCGACTGGGAAAACATCAGCTCCAGTGGGAGGGAAGGCCAGTGCAGGGGCCCAGGCGGAGGGGCGGGGCAGGGGGGTGGGGGGGCAGCCTGACCTAGTTAGAGCCTTAAAGGGCTCCACTGAAAGCCCTTTCAGATGTCCCCCAGGCCTGGGTGCAGGGTGGCCTAATAATAATAAAACAACATTTGCATGGAGATTTCGTTTACAAAGCACTTTCTCAGGGGTGGGAGGCGCTCGGGTGGCCTGTGGCATCCTGGCGGGGAGGCTGAGGCCTCTGGTTGGTTCCACCCCCCAGCCGAGCTCCGAGCTCGCGGTTGTGTGCGCGTGAACAAAGCGCTATTCATCCGACTATTTCCGATTCCTCTGGATTTCGTTCTTTTTTTCCCTCTCCCATGAAGAGCTCACTCAGGGCTTGTCACTCAGGCCAGAAAAGGGGTGTCAGCTGTCCCAGAGGGAGGGGTTGGCTGGGACCTGATTGGAGGGAGGCACCCCTGCCCCGCGGCGCCCCCCCCACCCTTTGGCCCCCCCAAGCTCCTGGGAATGGGAGCAGCCTCACTGTGGTAAGTTGGTGGAACTCTTCCCAAAGCTGACCTGTGGCTTTGTCTTCACGGTGAAAGAGTGAGCACAGGTGTGGTCATGTCTGCGCGTTTTTTGTGTGTATGTCTGAGGACACCGCACAGAGATGAGCAGTGTGGGGAGGGGCTTGGCTAATTCTTCCCCAGCAGTCTGCATGGTGAGCGGGTGTGGGGGCGTGGGGCCCTGGGGGGAGCATGAGGCCCCAGGGTGTCTGCACCTGCGTCAGGTGGGCGTGGTGAGACATTCGTGGGGAGAGAGTCACGTGGCCGTCTCCTGGCCCCTGGCACCCAGGGATGAGGGACGCAGCATCAGACCCGGGCCCCTTAAGGGCCTCCCATGAGCTATATAGGGTCCACCTGCAGGGGCTGAAGCAGGTTTTAGCAGCCCTGGCAGGAGACTGAAGATGCAAGAGGTCATTGCTGGGCTGGAGCAGTTGAACTTCACCTTCGAGAACGATGTAGAGATGCAGAAGGGCACTGGCCTCCTGCCTTTCCAGGGGATGGACAGTGAGTGAGGCCAGGGTGTCGGCTGCCCCTCTGGAGGAACCTTGAGCGATGGCCCCTCTCCCAGCCCTCTCTGGAGTCCTCTCTGCTCGGCTCACCAGGGAGACTGAGTTGGGGGTGGGGCTGGAACCGATCATCTTCGAGCCCCAGCTCAGTCCCTCCCTTCTTAGGGGCTCAGGTCCCCCCTCTTACATCTTCTCCAGACTCCAGGAAAATGGGGCTGACTTCCAGGCAGTCCATTTCCCAGACTGGAAAAGCAGAGAGACCCAGAAGGTGAATTGTGAGAAGCCAGGAATGTCCACACGGGCCCCCTGAGCTCCTCTGCGGCCCTCCATCTCCTCTGTTTCAGAGCTGGGGGTTTAGGTGTTGCGGTCTGGAGGCTGGTTCTGAAAGCCAGCAGCCAAAAAACCAGGAGCCTGGGGGCCCCCAGGCTCAAGCATCAGGGAAGTTCGGGGTGGGGGGCACTTCCTGAGAAGGAAAAGCCCCTCCGGCAGCTGCAGCCGCTGAAGAAGCTACCTTCCTTCTTCCCCTTCTAGAATTGGGCTCGGCTGTGTGCAACTTCTTCGCTAAAGGGCTCTGTGACAAAGGTGGGTCAGCAGGAGAACCTGGCGGGGGAGGGGGTCTAGACCAGTCTATACTGTGGTGGGTTCCCCTTGGCCTGGAATAAGGTGTCAAATCTGCACCTGGGGAGGGGAGGTTGGAATGGAGTCGAATTTGTCTTATAAGGAGGCAAAGGGCAGGAGAGCAGGTACGTCCCTCAGGAAGCCCTCCCCTGCCCTCAAAGGATTTCACTGGCCCAGCAGCATTGATCAGGGTTACCCAGGGCTACCCGGAAGGGGACAGTCCCTTCTTTCCGCCTTGCTGGGGGTGGGAGTGTTTCCGGAGTTTCAGCCTGTGTGCTCCCAGGAGGCCCCGGGGGTCTTGAGTTTCCTCCCCGCCAGGAAAGCTGCACCCTTCTCCCCAGTCCCCCCAACTTCTCATCCTCTGAATCAACATAGGACCTGGTCAGCTCTTCTATGTAGTCTTTATGTCCTAAGACAGCTCTGTCTTTCTGTCTCTGAAATGCTACCCATAAATGTCCCCTGTTTTTCCCCCACCCCAACTTGGATCAAGCAAGCCCCTCTCCCCTAATACAGGCAACCGACTCCAGCCAGGGGTTCCCAACCTCTGGCTCATGAACTACTCACAGCCTCTTCCTATAGCAATACACAGTTGCCCCCAAAAGTCTTGCCTCCAATCCGGGGGTTCCCAGTCCCCCTATAGATCCAGGTTCAGTAACCCTGCTAATGTGAATGAGTTCAGGACCAGTTTTTTGGATCCAAGCAGTCCTGTTCTTGGGAAGCCAGGAGGCTGGGGGGTGTTCTAGGGCGTAATTGCCACGCACCTCGCACCTCCTTTGTCCTGTCAACCCTGGACGACGGGGTGAGTGGGGGAACCAGCATTGCTCACTCGAGGCTCAGCACTGAGATGCCACCTCAAGTCCTGTCTCCAAAGCAGTGGTTCACAGTGACATCTTTTTGCAGAGAAACATCACTGCCCTGGCCAGAGGTCACACCAGAGCAAGTTCCGGGCCGGGTGATGGGAGAGCTATTTACAAAGAAGCCCTTCCCGGTTTCCCTCCCCTTCTATCAGACAGTCAGCCAAGCACGAGCCCGGCCCTGCTCAGGAACTTAGGAACTGGGATGTCCTTCCTGCTGATGCTAATACCCCAGGAAGAAGAACAAAGAGTTACCTTGAACATTTCCACTTCCTTCTATGTTGTTACAAAGCTGGCTTGTTGGTTAGCACCTTAGGTCTCTGCACTCAGGAAACGTAACCTTTGTGGGAGTTTTTAGGACCTGATTTTAACAGGCCCTTCAGGAGCACTGGATGCCCCCAGACCGTGCTGCGGGGGCGGGGGGGGAGTCCAGGGCTGGAACCACGGCTCTGCTCTCTGGTAGGGGTCCACTGCCATGAGCCCGGAGGAGAGGGGGTGCCTGAGAGCTGCTCTGACCTCCTGGGGCTCCCTGGGGTTTGAGAAGGGCGAGGGCAGGTCCGGCAGGGCAGAGGGTTTGGGCAGAGGGGTGGTCGTGCGAACAGCCGCGTGTCCGGACTACTACACCTCCTTCATGTTGCCTCCGGCCCCTGATTCTAGCTCCAGGGGGGTCAGGGGATGGGAGCGAGGGAGGGCAGTGGGGATCTGAGCCCCAGCCTCTCCTGGGGAATTCCTTCCCGGCTGAGCCGGGTCCACGCTGTCAGCAGCTGGGTGCTCCGGTGTCCCCAGGGAAGCTCTGCCCGTTCCGGCACAACCAGGGGGAGAAGATGGTGGTGTGTAAACACTGGCTCCGTGGCCTGTGTAAGAAGGGCGACCAGTGCGGTTTCCTGCACCAGTACGATGTCACCAGGATGCCCAAGTGCTACTTCTACTCCAAGTTCGGTAATGTCCCGTCCTGGCTCCAGGCCTTGCCCGGGAGGTTGGCAGTGGGGACTGTGAGAGGGGCGGAAGTTTTGAGAGGGGCACGTGGAGGAGGCTGTGCATGCCTCGGGGGCCAGACCACCCTCTCTGAGCCTTGGGTGCCTGCTTCTTCAGCCCCCTAGACACAGAAGGTTCCCGTTTTACTCCCTCTGGGGTCCCTGTTTTACTGCCCCGCAGGCACACACGGGTCCCTCTGAGGGAAGGGGAGGGTGTGGCTGGAATCAGAGGCTGAACAGTTCCCCCGACCGTCCTGCCTAATCACATACCCAGACTGACTGTCCGGGAACAAGCCTGAAAAAAGTGATCTCTCTGTCCTGGGGTGGGTCTGGGCCAGGGAGCCCCAAACAAGCATTTGGAAGCCACTTTCCCAGTGCTTGCCCAACACACAGAACACCTGTTCTGCTGGCTGGTATCATTGTCTACTCTCTCCACTCTCTTGCTATTATTATGTCTTATTTTAGAAGGAAACTTGACATCGTTTCCGTAAGTAGAAAACGAGCATCTCTTACAGGCAGTGTGAGGTAACTGTAAGCATACAGTCGTGAGGCTCAGACGCCCTAGCCGAGATCTCCAGTTATCTTGTGTGGTCAGGTCTGGACCAGTGTCCTCCCGCCCTCTGGCCTCAGGACCACCTTTTGTCATCCACGGGGCTGCAGAGGGGGAAGCCACAGCCACATGTCCTCTCCTTTAAGAAGGGTCTGCGAATGTGTTTCAGATCTCATAAAATATCTTCCCAATACAATTCTACAGCTCCGTTCTTTCCGGAGCTGGAAGGAGCCCTACGGATTATGTAGTCTAGCGCTTTTCAGACTGTGTTCCAAAAGAGTGACCTGGGAGGGGAGAGCTGGCCCAGTCTCCAGGGACCTCTCTGACTGAGACAGCTGCAGGGGTCGCTGTCCCTCATTAGTGCCAGCGGCCCCCCGGCGCGGTAGGGGGAGTCTCGGGTATGTGGGAGGAAGGCAAAGCATCCTCGAAGAGCTCCTCCCAGGCCAGAAGTCCATGGCCTGTGTGCTCAGAGCTGGGGTTCAGCTGCCGACGTGTGTTCTTTGAAAGGAAGGACAAAGTTTACCTGGAGCCCGGCTCCCCTTAGTCACCGCCTAAACCTCTTTCTTTTAAAAATGCCATTTATTCATTCCTTCAGGAAAACTTGGTTCTGTTTTCTTTTGGGACTTGGATGCTGTCCTGGGGATGGGCACAGGGATAGGACCAGGTTCCCTTCTGTCCCCCAGTACCTCTCACAGTGAGGGGGCATCCTTGTAAATCATTAACGGTAGTTCCTAACCTCTGTTTCTGCTCTTAGAGTAAACGAGTATCTCTAATAGCCTATCAAAGCGATTCTCGTTCTTCTTGCAAGGAAGTTGTTTTGTTTAGAGCCTTAGGTTGGGAGGTGTAGGAGCGCGGTATGAAGGGGGCCAGGGTCTTTGGGCACATCTGTTGGCCGGGGAAAGGCAGAGTGGAGGGTGGGGTTTGGGTGCCACCTGCTGGCCGTCAGGGGAGAGCGGCGACGTGCATCGGGGAGGGGGGACAGAAAGGGAGCCCTGCGCAGGTGACTTCCCACCGCCTGACCAGTCAAATGCTCACCAGCCCTGGACGGGGGCGAGGAGGGGATATGTCACTTCCATTCCTCTGGAGGCTGGAGCCGGGAGTCCGCGCTCTGCCAAGGGCTGCACACAGACGACAAGCACGGAAACCCATCGTCAGTGCAAGGAAGGCTGGTGATGGTGGCCACGGCATTTCCCCTCTCTGAGCCCTGGTGTCCTCGTTCGTGAGACGGCAGGACCTGGAAGGAATGGTGGTTTAAAGCTCTTTGGCATCCGTGGCCCTCTTCTCCAGGTGAAAGCCAATGGTGTGAACATCGTGAAGTTCCTTTTGGTTCTGAGAAGCACCAAGGTGTAGATTTTTAGGGAGGATGAGATTGGAAGCCTTCACTGCTTCTCTACTCAAATGAAGTAAAAAATGAGCCGAATCTTCCCCAAGGCTCCTTTCAAGCTCCTGGCCCCTAAGAGAAACCTAAAAGGGTTCTTTCCACAACTCTCAAGTAGTCTGTCCGACAGGGCTGGTCCCTTTTAGGGAACCTGAGTCCTGGTCCATCTACAGACCAAGGACAGTGCAGATGTCGTGAAACTACAGGTATCCCTCTGTGTCTTGTCTGGCATCATCCCAGTGCCCACTTGGGGGCACAACTCTGCTCTTCTTGGCATTTCCACTAAAAAGGACTGTTCCTTGGTTCTGGAAGCACCATGGGTCTCCTAGCGATGAAGGCATGAGGGTTTAATCAGATTGTATCCACGATGTGTCTTCTTGGATCGTTAGCTGCTTACTCTGGGTCTCCCCTCCCCACCTCTCCTCTAGTTCCTTCCTCTCTGGTGGCCTCCAAATGCCTTCCGTTCCAGCCCCTCCTTCGGGATCTCTGGCCCTGCCTCAACACTTCCAGATGCGCTTATTCCTACCTGAGCCCTGCTGGGCACATAGTACTGGGATCCATCCTCCTTAGATTGTTGGAAGGATCAGGAAAATCTTTCTGTGGCTGGTGGCAGACAGCAGGCAAGCGGCTTCTGTGCAAGGGGCAAGGTCCGTCCAGTCTGGGGAGGGTGGAAAGAACACTAAAGATGAGCCTGCTTTTAAAGAATGCTGGACTTTTCAGGTGATTGCAACAAGAAGGAATGTTCCTTTCTCCACGTGAAGCCAGCTTTCCGGACCCGGGACTGTCCTTGGTATGACCAAGGTTTCTGCAAGGATGGTGAGGCCCCGATAGAAAGGGAACACTAGGTGATCAGGATGGGGGAGGGGCAGTCCCTGGAAGGGGAAGGAGGCATATTCCTGATGAGGCCCCGGGGGGCCTTCCCAAGAGAAGGTCCTTCCATCGTCCTCCCCAGGCCCGCTCTGTGACACTGTAACGTTCAGCCAGCGATGGGAGGACCTGGCACAGGACTGGCTTCTTGTAGCAGGCTTACCTGGGTTCTAATCCCCGTGACTTCAGAATGCATCAGCTGTGTGACCTTGAACGAACTGCCGAACTCTCCTCATTTATGGAAAGGGGAAACCCCTCCCTCCTAGGGGCGGACCCCCAGGAGACTGTTCATCTACAGTCTCGTCTTTTCCCACCCCCCCCACCCATGTGCTGTTGCTGAAGCTTGCTCTGCCTACCCCATTAAGAGGCAGGTTCCCCCCATCCTCGTCCCTGTGCTCTGAGGCCCACATGCTTTGTTTTCCTTTGCCTCCAGGAGCATTGCTCTGAGGCCTCAGCTGAGTTGGTTTTGGGGGATTTTAGGGGAGGAAAAGTAAGCTGTGGGGTGAGCCTTTCCTCAGTCGTACCTTCTGGAGCTAAGTCAAGATGGCATGTGACTATGTACAATCATGTCATTCTGCCCAAACGCAGTGTGTTAGGAACGCTTCCGGCCCCCTTGTTCAGGACCTACCCCAACATATTCCGAGGTCGCCTTTCCCCTCAGTCACATGGTTAGGAAGCAGGTGCTTTAGGCAGTCTGGAAGGGAGAGATTTCTACACCCCGTGAAGTGGAGAGCCTGTGACTGCCTACCCTCCGGGTGAGCTTTGTCATGTGTCTTTCTGGCTGTTCTTTGCCCAGCAGGTCCCCTCTGTAAACACCGCCATGTTCCTAAGACAATGTGTGCTAACTACTTAGTGGGCTTCTGCCCCGAGGGCCCCCACTGTCAATTTGCACAGTGAGTATGACCCCTGGATCAGCAACTCCCACCTAGCACGGCTGTTCTCTGGCTTCTAGATCTGGATCCTTCTCTACCTTCACTGGCCCAAGGTGGGAAATGAAGTGTCTGGTGAGCATCTGCCCAGTGTTTTCCTTGCTGGCTTACCCTGCACACCCACACCCCCTCTGCAGTTCTCCCTCATCCCCTGGCTGGGGTCTGGGCTCCTTCCCCACAGGGTTCAGAAATGCGAAATCTGCAGCAGGCTGACACCGAGCATGCTAATGAGCCGGGGGTGGGGGTGGGGCTGGAGCCAGACGGTAATCGTCTCTCTCTCTCTAATTCCCTCAGTCCCAAGATGGATCTTTTATTCAACTCGAGCTACACGAAGGTGAGAGCAGGCAGGAAGGGGGCAGGTGTGTCTGGTTCTCTTTACTGGGCATGCTCCCTGGGAAGCGGTCTCTCTCTCTCTCTCTCTCTCTGGTATCGCCCTATGCCCAGCTGCCCTCACTCTCTCATGATCTGCTCCAAGTACCCACTCCGGGAAAGGCACACGCCAACACCCAAACCTCCTCCAACCCCTTTAGGAAGGACTGCTCAGCTTAACTGCTCAGCTTATGGGCCTCTGAGGCTTTCCTTCTCCTTAGCTGGAGAGAGAGAGAGAGAGAGAGAGAGAGAGAGAGAGAGAGAGTGTGTGTGTGTGTGTGTGTGTGATATCTCTATGCCCAACATGGGGTTTGAACTCATAACCCAAAGGTTAAGAGTTGCATGTTCTACCAACTGAGACAATCAGGCGCCCCATGGATGAGGTTTTTAAATAAAGAACGAGGGGCCCAGCTCCGGATTTGTGGTCTAAAGATGTCGTTCGGGATCCGGGCTGTCCTGCTTGTGCCCAGTCCCTAGGGAAACATACAGTCTTCTGATTGCTACCAAGCACTGATGAGCACCTCCACACATCAGGGGTCAGGGAACTAATCCAAATCTGGCCCCTGCCTGTCTTTGCACAGCCTGGCACCTGAGAATGATGTTTTAAAAAGCACGTAGGAAAAAAGGCAAACCAAAAAATATATACTGTTAACACGGGAGAATGAAAATGAAAATGTCTTTTCTCGAAGTTTTGCTGGATCAGGGCAAACTCATGGCTTCCGTATCCTCCAGAGCGGGTCTCAGGCCTACGCGGCAGGGCTGAGCGGCTGCCACCGAGCCCACGTGGCCTGCAGAGCCAAACCGCTTTCTGTCTGGTCTTCTACAGAAAGCCTTGGCTGACCCCTGGCCTGGGTGGCTCTGGAAGACGTCAAAGCGGGCGTGGGAACAGGGCTCTCGGCTCGCTCTGTTCCTCAGGGCCCCGCATCCGGTCCCTCAGCCCCAGGAAAGGCTGGCGCCGGCTCAGGAGGGCGCCCCCTGCTGCCCCTGAGTGGGATCTCGGCTGGAAGGTGGGAAGCCGCCTCCATCCGTGACTGTTGGCCAATTCCCAAGCCCATGTGTAACGGTCAGCAGGAGGCATGTTTTGGCAATTACAGTTGTCACCAAAGGCGTCTTGAAACCTGGTTTCCGCTGAAAGACCTGGCCAGAGCTTTTGCCCCTGGTCTAAAGCCACCATGTCTACGCAGAGTGGATGTCTGCAGTGTTTTCTCCTGACCTTACCTGCAGCTTGTCCACGGGCCACGGCGTTCAGCACCTCCTGCTTCCACCTGGGAGCGTCACAAGCCCCCTTCCACGACCACGGAGTGCCGGCTTCTCCACCCTCTCAGGCAGCCCCAGGAGCCCCTGCTCTCCTGCCGCTCGGGGCTCAGGGCACTGGAGCAGGGCCCGTGCTACACGGTGAGTGGCCGCAGACAGACCCGGCCATAGCCCGGGGGAGGGCGGGGGTGGGAGTGGCTTCAGTCAGTCAGGTAAGAACAACACACTGGGGGGCAGGAGTGATGAATGGGGGTGTGGGGGGCCACCGGTAACCCCAATGTTTCTGCTAAGTCTCCACGACCTCAACTGACTTATATCTCCCGCCAGACAAGAATTTCTTTATTAAAATCTAGTCAATTAAACAGCTCTCGCCTCTCCTCCTTCGCTGCCTATGAATTCGGAGTTCACACCTAATGTCCTCAAGAATTGGGGGGGGGCAGGATTTGGTAAGGAAAGGAACGTAGCACGTTGTTTTTCTGATTTTGTTGATTTTGCTATTTTCTGGCTTATCAGGAAGAAACATAACTTCATGAGATAACATCTACACTGTCCCGTGCTCCTGATCCTCTGTACTGAAAGCTCCAGTGGGGACAGGGAAGGGCACAGAGCTCTTGCCTTTCTCGTATGTTTGATTTTGGGGCCTTTGAACATCTGGATCCCTGTTCTCTGGGATAGCGATGCTGGCTTGAAGGTCTCAAGGTCTTTCAGGCCCAAGATGAAGCTTCGTTTAAGAGAGAATCCATCAAACTCCTTAGAATGACAGCTAACTAGCTCTCAGGGTTCCCTAGACGGGTTAGGGCATTTCTCCTGGGATCCAAATTTACAAAAAGTGACATCGGTCATCTTTTTCTTTTAGTGTCGTAACATGGGCCATTATGCCAGCCAGAGCAGTAAGACTCCAACAGGTAGGAGTTATCAAAAAGTAACCCCAGGTCGGTGGGCTAACTGACGACCATCCAGCGAAGAAACCCAACGGCCACTCTGTGGGATCCTCTGGTCCCCATGCCCAGGGCGCCCTCGTGTTGGCCCCCACTGGGCTGGAGACGCGGAAGTAGTGGCCTGGTGCACGGGGGCTTGTTCCCTCTAATCCTGTAAGGGAGCCGCTGGTAGAAATATGCCAGGACTGGAGGCAGATGGGACTGTGGTAGGGCGCGGTATCACAAAGTGGGGGAGCAGGATGTACGTACACTCAGAGCTCGGGTTTGTGGGACATGCATGGGTCCTGCTCCGCATGGCTCTTGCACCACAGCCAAGCTCGGGCCGTGCACGGCAGTGCTGTTCACATGGCCTCGCCTGCTGCTGGGAACTTATTAAACCCAACGGTTTTCTTCAGCATGACAGCTGCCTCCCTGCGTGGCTTCCTTCAGTTTGAGGCTCTGTTCTGTGAATGCTTTAGGCGTTACAGGCAGGGGATGGTGCAAACAAAGGTTGTCTCTGGGAGGGGAGGGAGTGACGCGCACCATCTAAGGCCACACGAAGTCAAAGGCCATTGTGATTTAACCTGCAGGGAGAGAGGTGCGGGTAGGCTAAGCCAAGCTTTTTGGGGAAAGTAGGTGTGTGGTGGGAGCAGGTGTACCGGCCCCCGCTTTGGCAGATGGAGACGGCTGCCTGGCCAGCCCGGAGCTGGAGGGAAAGGGGACAGGGCCTTCCCCCGCCCACCCCCGGGGCTGCTGAGACCAACGCCAGGCAGCCGTGGAGGCAAACTGCCTCACGTCAGGCCTCTGCTTCCTGGTGCTGAAAAACGAAGGTGGCACCTGCCTCAACGGGTGGTCGGAAGGCTAGACCGAGAGCGTGCAGGTCAAGAACTTGGCACAGCACTTGGCTTTGATCGCAGAGTAGGCACTCACACGGCAGCCAGGCTTTTGTGTGAATTGTGGTGGGGTCTTTCTTGCTTGGTTCAAGGTTAGAATCTGAACACGGGATGGTGCCACTGAGATTTCGGAAGAGCTGTTGTGATTGAAGGCCTGCTACGCGTCGGCCTCTGCTGGAACTGACCGATGAGGGACTTCTCATCTCACCCAATCTCTGCAAAGCATGTATCATCCTCCCCACCTTATAGTTCAGACCGTCCTGAGAGGCTCCAGTAAGTTAGACAACCTGCTCGGGGCCACACCCACCCAACTCAAAGATGATGGTCTGGAAGAGGCTCATAATAAGAGGGGAAGTAAAAATACATTTAAAAATGTGCTCTTTCTGAAAGGTGGTGGTAATCCCACAGAGTAGCACAGGATGCAGGCTGATTAGGATCATCTGTAAATCAGGACAAACAAGGACTAGGAACAGTGGCAGCAGACAGGGTTTCCCATAGGAGTAACACACCCCATTGCTAACAGAACACGATGATCTTTAAGAACTAAATACTTGAATGTGTATTAGACAAAAGTACTTTCCCCCGTCCACTCAGCTTTTCAGATATTCCCACTCAGGCCTCAACTCCGGTAGCTGACGCCGGGGTAACCCACCCTACAGAGCACAAGGGCGCAGCCAGGCAATGGGGCGGGCCCTTGAGGATTTCTGGCCTTCCAGAACGGGGCCCTCCTTGCAAGTCTTCTCACAGGTGGAGCAGAGCCTGCCCATCCCAGAAACGCCTCCACGGGAGGGACGGGAAGGCGGGTGGGGACTGTTTGTATGGATTCTCTGCCCGCTGCTGAACCGGAAGCAAAACCTAAGCACTGTTGCTCACCCAAGGAGAGCTCCTGCCAGGCCCGTGGAAGGTGCGGAGCATCGTTTTGGGAGACCAAATCAAGGAGGCTGTTTAACACGGCTCAGCAAGCTACGAGCATTCCTGACTTCTTTTTCTTGGCTTTGTGAAGAGCAGTTACTCGTGCCTCACGTCTGCAGGATGCTGGCTTCTGGCAGCTCAGGCTCACGCGTCTGCATTTCCAGTTTGGAAAAGAATCTCTGGTCTTGCGGGAGGAAGCCTTGCATCCGCCACGTCACATGCAGGACTGGGGCAGGCTGTGCAAATGAACTTGTGCGGATATCTGCAGGCACGAGTAGTAAATCTGGCCTCACAAACCAGACTCACAGTACTCGTGTAAGCGGGAGCTATGAAGTGTATTCCCTCTGTCACTCAGAGTTGGGCTCGACCTCAATCGGCAGGTGTCCGCTGACCTCAACGACTCAGACTACTGGGAAATGTTCACCCAGAACCAGGCCTGTCCACAGTCAAAAAATGGACTTCCTCTGTAACCATTTTAGATTCCAATAATTTTATTCTTTTCACTCCCTCTCCCCCAAACCATCTTCAATGGTTAAATGTTCGCTGCTGGTGTCCCAGTGTACGCCCCCTGCGGGCTCCAGGCTTCCATCCTATGTCCCGGTCACCACTTCCGCCAGCGCTGCAGCTCTTTGGATAAATAGAGAGAAGCATAAGGACCCAAGAGGCCACTTCTTTTTCTTTTTTAAAGATTTTATTTATTTATTTGACAGACAGATCACAAGTAGGCAGAGAGGCAGGCAGAGAGAAAGGGGGAGGAAGGCAGAGAGAAAGGGGGAAGCAGACTCCTGGCTGAGCACAGAGCCCGATGCGGGACTTGATCCCAGGACCCTGAGATCATGACCAGAGCTGAAGGCAGAAGCTTTAACCCACCGAGCCACCCAGTCCCCCTGCCAAGAAGCCACTTCTAAAGACGGTCTGTCTCCTGCGTGTGCAGATCATTCCATTCCCCTTTTGTTTTACAGATTCAGAAATAAAGTCTTAGGGGCAATCAGAAATTTCTGCTTCACTTTCTTCAAAGATGTGAAAAACAAACCTCAGGTATCAACCACCTGAGCCCTTTCAGACAGGTAAGCCTTTAACGGGGGGCTTGTCCCTGAGAAAGAAGTGTAAGTGAGGTGTCTGGGAGTCTCCATGAACACAGAGCTGATGAGAAAGGAACTCCTCTTCCTAATCAACGGACTGGCGGACTGCACATTTACCAGTGCCCCACCAGCGGTGTGCAGGAAATTTACCGCAGTCCTGTTTCTGCTGCTTGATCTGCTCTCCCACTTACTAGACACCCAATCAGTCAGAAAATCCAATTAGAGTCAAGTCCCCCCACCTTTTTTTAAAGTAGGCTCCACGCCCAAAGTGGCGCTTGAACTCACGACCTCGGGATCAAGAGTCACATGGTTTACCAACGGAGCCAGCAGGCACCCCAAGTCCTATTAAGCATTTGTGAATTACACTGTTATTAATGGCTGTCTTGTACCTTTACACCAGAAGTTTTCAGAAAGCATCTGGGCTTTTTTTAATCGTGGAAAAATACTGGGCTTTTTTGGATATTCTTTTACATACTTTGTCTTTTAAACATTTTAACTATAAAAACATATTTTTATAAAGCAGGACTTTAAAAAAATGAGATAAGTCATCTTGGGACTAAAAGAGAAATGAAGTTCAGACACTCTTCCTCCTGGTAAGATCTGATGCAAGCTGAAGTCCCAACTAGAAGGATGGTTTTGTTTTACATGGTGAAGGTAATGTTTAAGATTTCTGAGACCCTCAGACACATGAGTGAGAGCTGTATTGTTTCTCCCTCGCTCTCGGGGGTATAGAGCTGTTCCGTTTCAACGATAAAAAGAAGTTCTAAGGCAGGAATGAAGAAGGGTGCTGATCTGGCAAACAAACGACTTTCAGAGGAGAGAGCACAAGACCACCCGATCTCTAGCCACCTCACGTCCCTAGAGCACAGGTGCAATTATGTCAATTCTAGTCAAATCTTATAAAGTTCATTTTAACCATAACCTTTAATTAAAAAAAAACCCTAAAGCCGCAGGCAGTGGCTCACTCACGAGGGTATGTCAGATAAAGCAGCACAATCATTAAAAAGCAATTCACAGGACGCCCCCCCCCACAAGCCCCCCGGAGGTCCCGTAATGGGACGTGACCTGTGATTTCGGTTAAAAATATCAAAAAAGCTTACTCAGATGCCTGAAGCTCCAGCCACACCACAGGACAAAGTAGCCGGTAAAGAGCATGGTGATGCCCCCGACGCCGCTTCTCACCGTGGTACTGCACCTGACCCAGCCTATTTAAAAAGAAACACGTCGGTTGCTATGGTGAACGGCAACCAGGGGCGGTGACCTGCCAATTACTCAAGTTCTCCCGGTCAGCGTGGGCATGGGGCTTGTAATGCACAGCATTTACATATCCCTCCCCCGCCCAACCCCACCAGAGGTAATTTTTTAAACAGATGAAAAGGCTCAAATCTGGAAGACCTTCAATTTTAATACATTTAGTTACTGCTGCTTTGAGAGTTTGGTCAAAATCTTGAGTGGAGAGGTTACTACGACTGGTTCACTCGAGGCGCAGGGTCCTCCTGGCTCTGGGACGATCAAGGTGGGCAAGGGAGAGATGGGGGTAGGTGACGGGGGTGGGGGGCAGTACAGAAACCAACTCTAATCCGTAAGTGGCAGCTGCCACTCTGCCAGGTTTGCTGCTCTCGATTCTGTCCACTTCTGGGGCAGAAACCAACCAAGAGGAGAGAAGGAAGCCTACGCACTCGTCTCTTTATCTCTTTCCCTTCGCCCTGCTGTACCAGCCACGGGCACAGGAAGAGAAACTTCTCCAAATGCCTGGAACCAGCAACACAACCCAGCAGACCGTGACTCCAGCTCACCTTTCTGGACAGCTCCCAAGAGCCGCATCAGAGACAAGTTGGAGGATGCAAGTCTGGTCGGGGGCTCCAAACTCCTGAGAGCGGTCGAGCTTCTTTCCCACAAAGGAACTACGGTTCCAAACAGAAGGCACTGTGATCGTTCACCAGGATTCAGGCTCCTTCCCGACACTCCGTGCCCACGCCTCCCAGGGCCAGGCTGCAGCCCCTGGGGATCAGGACCCGCAGACGTTTTGGATCCGATGAGCGGACTGCGCAGCGGGTCCAGTACACGTGCTCCGTGCAATGAACGGTCTACAATTCCCACCAGTGCCAAACATCTGAGCAGAACTTTCTACTATTACAGGATCTACTGTTCCGTGTCACTCAATGTACTAGAATCAACACGTGTGCCCTATTCGCCCACTGCTATTACTGACCAGCCATTTCTCACTTCTGTTGAACCAAAAATGTAGAACCAGAAAGAAGGCTGTAAGGCTACCTATTTACAGCTTTCCGGCACCTGTTTTTCTGTTTAATGACAGGCAGGGAATCTCTACTGTTGCTGGTCCTTCGGTCTTGGTGGGGTTCATCGGGATAAAGGATAAATGAAGCAAATATTTACGACAAGTTTAGCAGAGAGGTAAAAGTTGCTATGGATGTAAAAATGCTATCCAAATACTTGTTACGTTAAGGAACAAGGAGAAAAGCCATACTGGCTTCCAAGAAGTTACACCGAAATAATTATTTTGCAAGGTGAAGACTAAAAATCCTTAAAATAAAGGATGACATGACCCATTCTTGGAAAAGATGGGAAGAAACACTTTTGTGTTAACTCCGATGGTAGAACCAATTCCCCTGCCGTGGCAGAACAGGGGTGCCCCCCCGACTGTTCCTTCTCCAACCAGCAGCCACCTTCATTAAGCGTTCACAGTGGGTATAAAAGAACCCAGGGCCCGGGAGAGGCCAGCTCAGAACCCACAGAAGTCCCGTTAGACCGTCTCCAGTGTCATCCTTCCTGCTACTCAGGGACCCTGAACTCTGATCTCCATCCCTTTTGGCTGGGTTGCGGGCCCAGGAACTGCTAACACCCAAGGCCATCTCCTCTAGATGTTGTCCTCGACCTGCCAGTGCTGACATCCTTACATCCCAAACCTAGCGACAATAGCTCCGCTCTCTCATAGAAATGCTGGAGCCGTCCCTACCTTGTGTACCTCTAACACTTCCTATCACCCCTCCGGTCTGGCTGGAACTCCAGAAATGTGACTGCCTCACCTCTCATGCCTCTCTGGCTATTGTAAAACCTCCCCTCTCACGGCCTCCTCTGGCTACCAGCTGACCTCATCCTGGCTTGTACTCCTCCTGCCCTGCTCAGCTGCTTCCCCACATATGCCCTGTCTCAAACATCTCACCAGGGCAATGCTACTGGATGATGAGAGAATGGCCTTTAAAAACCCATGACCCAGGGGCACCTGGGTGGCTCAGTGGGTTAAGCCTCTGCCTTCAGCTCAGGTCATGATCTCAGGGTCCTGGGATCGAGCCCCGCATCGGGCTCTCTGCTCAGCGGGGAGCCTGCTTCCCTCTCTCTCTCTCTGCCTGCCTCTCTGCCTACTTGTGATCTTTAAAAAAAAAAAAAAAAACAAAAAACCCATGACCCAGGGCACCTGGGTAGCGCAGTTGTCGGTTTTGGCTCAGGTTGTGATCTTAGGGTTGTGGGATCAAGCTCTGCATGGGGCTCTGCACTCAGCTTGAGACTCTCTCTCTAAAATAAATAAATCTTAATAATAATCAAAAACCCCTCAAACCCATGGTCCTGTAAGGTCTCCTCATTCTTTTTTAAAAAACATTTTATTTCCTCATTAGACAGGAAACACAAGCAGGAAGTGCAGTAGGCAGAGGGAAAGGGGGAAGCAGGCTCCCCGTGGAGTAAGAAGCCCGGATGCAGGGCTTGATCCCAGGACCCTGGGATCATGACCAGAGCTGAAGGCAGACGCTTAACTGACTGAGCTACCCAGGCGCCCCAGGTTTCCTCATTTTACCTTCTGCTATCCCCACCAGCCAAGTTTTGCTTTCTGTAGTTCAATGAACGGTGTTTTTTCCAAACCACTCCCTCCCTTCCCCCCATCTGTCCACACCCCATCCCCTGTGCTGGGTCTGAGGCTCCCCGCTCTGGCAGCCTCCCAATACCAAGGGTACTTTAAAGCTTGGCTGCTCTGCAGAAACACTGTTTGAAAACAGGATTCTTAGACCTTATTTCAGGATCAGTCTCTGGGGATGAGGTCCAACTGTCAGTTGTCCAGATGTGGGACCCAAAGACCTAGATCTCTTCAGCTGGAGTCCTGAGAGCCCAGGCACCTGAATTCAGCCATGGCTCAGCCAAGCATCCCCGGCTAAGCACGCACCAAGCTTTCCTTTGAAAAAAGGAAGCCGATTCCATTGCTGAGGGCTCTTAAGACCCTTGTATTTGCGGAGTCTCCAGGGATTTAAATCCTGAACTTCTAAAATCTACTTTGGCTAATGCTGGGAGAACTACTTTTTGGGTAGTAAGTCTGTGAAAATCCTTCTTATTAAACCTCACGAGACACTCCTAATGCTGTCGAGTTCCATAAGCCTAATTCTCGTTCCCGAGTTACTGAACCCTGATGTTAGGGTCCGTAATCAAAGAAGCGAGACTGATACAAAGCGAAGGTCAAGCAAAGCTTTATTTCGCGCCAAGCATCGAGAATCAAACTGACCGGTCAGGGCCGTCTCTTACAAAGAGGCGATGCGTAATCCTTTGATTACGGATCCTAACACTGACTCTGTGGTGTCCTCAGAACGATCAGTCTGCTGAGCTATGCCCAGTACTGCAGACTGTGACCAATGAAAGAGAACAGAAGCACTTAGAACCTGGGTGCCTGGGCAGCTCAGTGGGTTAAGCGTCTGACTCTTGATTTCAGCACGGAGCCTACTTCGGATTCTCTCTTTGACTGCCACTCACTGTGTGAACATGGGCACGTCACTTGACACTTCGGGGGCTCAGATTCCTCAACGATAAAGGAAGTGGGACAGCGCCTTCAGCGACAGTCATCTGAGTCATCATGAGGGCTGAATGAGGTCATAATGCAACATACCAGGCGGTGTCTGATATAGTCATCCCCTGACCAACATTAGTCCCCTCCCTTTTCCCTCTGAAATGAAAAGTGCCTGTATCAGAGACACTCTTCAGCACTATCAAAGGTAGTACAGGAAATAACTAAGTCCCGCTTGCCAGAGAGATTCGCACGGGCCACCGCAAACCACAGAGAAGCAGAGATCTGACAACCACCTGTGTTTCTAGTTAGGGTGCACTTTCTGCAAGGCGGTTTAGTGGAAAGGGCGAAATGTGGTCTGAAGAGACTGTTCTACCTGCTGCTTTACCATCTACTGGCAACATGACCTTGAACCAATCACTTCTCCTCTCTGCCTGTTTCTTCACCTGCCAAACACAGAGAAATCACTGCCCCCCTCTCAGCGCGGAGACGCTGAAATAATAGATGGAAGCGCTCTGAAAACAAAGCAACACAGGTGTTAACAGTAATTCTAGGTCAGCATGGGGAAAGGGCTGCGGGCCTCAACTTTGACCTTGAGACGGACTACAAGTCTGTAAAGAGGGCCTAGAGGTTAGGTCTGTTTGTAGGAAAACCAGTAACCACTAAAGTAGTCGACGATGTACCTGTAGCTAGCAACACTGTCCAGTCACTACACTTCTGTTTTGACAGCTTTAGAAAGACTTAATTACCGTATCAGGGAAAAAAAAAAAATGCTTGTTGTCAGACTAGATGACTTGGGGTTTAGTGAATATATAATAATTTATAAAATATACCAGAGAGAGAAAATATGTCCCTTTTAAAAAGAGATGTTACAAGTTTTTCAGGTGCAAAGCTATTCTGAGTTGCTACAGGTCTCCTGTTGAAGCTAAAAGTACTAGTAAATGCTACACACACACACACACACACACACACACACACGAGATCTAAATGCTACATTAAACTAATGTGCTTCTAGAAAACCTTAAAAGAGAAAAATCTAAAGCTTCCTGGTGAGGAAAATGAAGAAACTTTATGTATTGTTAACTAGATTAGAGATCGTCCAATAACTGAAGGTCAAGTTGTGCAGGAGAAAAGGGAGGATTCCCTGAAATTCCAGGGACTTCCTGACTTGACCCATTCTAGGCACTGGCAAGGAGCTTCCGGAGGGCTTCTGAGGAGACGGCCTCACAGCCTGTCCGTTTCTTTCCAGGACTCCTTACTGGATCTCTCAAGACAGCTTGAACAGCTGCCCAACATCCGCCGGCCACGCCCCCACCCCCTCCTGCTGCGGAAATGCAAGTGATCAATGTCACTGGCTGACCTGGCCTAGACAGGCCTCAACTGGCCTCAACTCTGCGTGGAGGGTAAGGGAGAATGGTAAACCACTGGTACTAATTCTGGAGCAAGAATTGATGTTTTCAGAACAACTGTAAGTCTGGTATACTGGAGTGCCTAGGTAAAAAAGTCAAATGAGCAAAAACAGGAGTATTCTGAACCTTATTAATTCAAAAGGCACAGAGCTGTATGGATGGGCTGGATGGCCCGTGAAAATGCGCATGTTTACCTTTTGAGAGTCTCTCCCCCTGGGGACTGGTGGGCTGAGGCTTTTGGGCCATTGCATTCCAATACTGGGGCTTCCCTGGCAATACTCCTAGTCCAAGATAACCAGGATAGAGCTCTGGAAACCACTCCAGGCCCAGGGAGCTTGAAAGGGTCTTCCTATCAGCAATGCCAATCTGATGGAAGGGGCCGTAAGAGGTGTGAGGCAGGACTGAATGTAAGGTTTGCTGGCAGCCGAGGTGTGACACTGGGGGCCCACGGCCAGAGCTGGGCTGCAGAGAAGCTCCTTCACCACTCTCTGTTAACGCCTCCACTTCAGGGACTCCGTGAGGCCGGCAGGCTCCTGCTTTCTCTTCTTGGAAAAATCTGACAGCCAGAGAAGCAAGGCTTTGATTATGCGGCTGTGACACAGAAAGCAGCTCACTGTAGGCCGTCTCTCTTGGAGTGAACAAATTTGAACTGGGACCTTCATGTGGACCTTTATTCTCTGTGGCTGAATCATCACTACTGATGTTCTTTGCATCACCGATCACAGAAGCCCATTCCGGGATTTCTGCTACAGATACACTTTTCTCTGCATTTCCTCTGCTGCCGTGTGCCTCTGTTCCAAGGTACAGTCCTTTTCCCTGGTTCTCCCTGACTTGGATGTCACCTACTGGGCTAACTTTAAAATTTAAAAATTGTGATTCCATGTTCTTTTCTTGAGTCTCAGAGTCTCTAACGTCAGAAGAGACTTCTGAGAGGTGGTCCCTGGCCTTAGACTGTCTCTCGTTGTTTGACAATGATGTTCTTACTCCTTCAACCCCGTAACTGAGATTCAGGGGAGAACTGTGATGAGGTTTATCTGGTAAATTTACTAGAAGCTTCCATCTTAGGGGATCAATTTTGTCCAATCTGAAATTAGTAGAAGTGATCTGTACATCATTGGGTAAGGCAGAAGAGTATTTTCTATCTTGATCTGATGAAGAAGGTTCTACTGGGCCAAGAGGTAAAGATGTTTCAGTTTCTGAAAGGTTACTTCTACCTTCCCCTGATGTAGGCAAATATTTGGCAAGTTCCCTCCTAGGAGTGGTGTTCTCTGATGCGTGAAACCGACCCTTCGCTTCTCCCTGGAAAGTTATCTTTGGTTCAGTATTTTTTAGTGTTTTGATAGAGCACTGACCTTGATTCTGGATGTCTTTATTTGCCTTTGTATTACTTGATCTTTCCAAACCAACAGCCAGGGGTGGAAAAGACTTCGTAGCCTGTTCTGGTTTGTCCTTTACCAAGTTGGTATTTCTCTTCTTACTCGCCATCTCCAACTTTTTCTCTTTAGTGTTATTTAAGTCGGCGACTGGCCCTTTCATTTTTTTAGCGTGTGGAGCTGGCTTGGACTGACAAGCTTTCTGATCAGCAGGTACAGTCGGTCCTATCATCTTACAATACGGCAAGTGGGATTTTAATCGTTTAAATGGCTTTTTACAGTAAGGACACACTTCCATCCTGGGTGAGTATCGCTCTCCTATTCCTGAAAAATGCAAATGGGAGATTATGAGGGGCACATAGCTGGTAAATCACTAACATTTCATTTACGTGTGTACCTTTCATTTGGAAGGACCTAGGTTGAAGGAAGTTTAAAAAAATGTGTTTTGACTTATTCTTTTCCTTACAGAGGTAGAAAACAGAAAACATGGTTGCTTTTAAGATAAATATCGTTGGCTTCACTTCTGTTTGGCATTTCACATTTCTTAAAGTCTTCCAAGAATCAACTGTTGGTAAAAAAACAACCAAAGTGGTTTTCCACAACCCTAATTAGTAGATGAGGAAAGTCAAAAGACTTAAATCTAATATATTAATGGTTAAATTAATGGAAGAAAAAGTTGTACAAAATACAGGTCAGAGAGGCGCCTGGGTGGCTCAGTCGGTTAAGCATCTGCCTTCAGCTCAGGTCATGATCCCAGGATCCTGGGATCCAGTCCCATGTGGGGCTCCTTACTTAGCAGGGAGTCTGCTTCTCCCTCCGGCCCTCCCCCTGCTTGTGCTCTCTCTCCCGCCTTAAATAAATAAATAAAATCTTCAAAATACCAATCAGATTAAAATGTTTGCTGTTTAAGGTTACAGCAAGTCAACTGGTTACTACGTGAGTGTAAAGAAACTGTTAAAATCCCTTAAACACATCATTTAAGGAAAGAATGGCGAAGAGTAAAAACTCAGGCCACGATCTGAAGGCTGCTGCTTAGAATCATGGTGTTTGAAGTGGTATACGGAAGATCTACTACAGTGCAACAAGAAAATATTAGACCTTCCATCATTTCAGCATGAGAAACGAAGCTCTAACACTGTATTAGTAACATATGTATACACACATACACGTTTATGTGAAAGTGTTTACAATGCACAAATGGTATATACACGTGGTGGGGACACAGTCCTCATTTTTAATTTACAGTTTGCAGTACAACGGACAACCGGCAAATTCATTCAGCATGAAATCTTTGTGATATTCATACCACGCAAAAACATGGAAAAAAACAGTACCATGTATCACTTGTACTTCTTTGAGCACTAAGCCTGGCACATAATAGTTGTTGAATGAACTCCTTTTCTGGACATAAACATGCAAACGCTATTATCACAGATGACTATGGCTGTGAAAACCTTCTGACCACTGAACACGGAGACTAAAACCATTTACACAAAACAGATACATGGAATCCTGGCCAATCCATTTAGGATCCTATATAAACTCAGGCAAAACAAAACTGTTTCCAGCCAAAGAGCTTCAATTTTTCTTACTTTGGAGGTACCCCCTTGACAATATAATCAAAGTAAATACCCACAACTGAAGCCAGTCCACGGGCCTTGGACTGATAACTCTGGAAGGGGCTAGGGATCTCTTGGATGTGTCTGCCTCTACATTCCTCCACTACCCTTAAACCTACTGGAAAGATCCTGCACCCTCACGTGGTAACGTCTCACCGTGGGTGGGTGACTACTTACTGACTGGAGCTTCTCCAGAAGGATGCTAACTTGGGGACTGTTTCTCCCGGCTCTCCATGCCTCACGATCGCAGTCCCCGAGTCCGGCAGAACAAACTCGGTTTGAATTGTCAGCCTGCGCGAGACACAATCAGAAACGTAACTCGTTAGCACACCCAGCGAATGGCTGTGGGGCGGCGCTGGGCCAAATACAATCTAACCGCGTTATTGGCAGGGCAGGTCCCCTGGGCGCACCGGGAAGCAAACAGTTAAGGCCGCGCCCGCCTCCCCGGCGCAGGGCCCGTGGGACTCCTGCCAAACACCTCCCTCAACCCCTACCCCGCCGCGGCCGCGGTACCCGGCCCGCCCTCCTCCCGGCTCCCGCACTTTTTCCGGAAGCGGAGCCGCAGCTTCCCGCTGAGTGGGCGGGGCCCTCCTCCCCAGCAGCCCCAACCGGAGACTCCGGAACCGCGCGGATGCTGAAGGGGGCTCGTCCTGCCGCCCCGGGAAGCTCCCCCCACCCCCATGGCTGGCCCGCCATCCGATCAACTCCCTCTCCTCCCGGGAAACACTCCCCCATCTCTGACACACGGCGTGATCCACCGGACACAGCACGACTGGCCGCAACTGACCCAGACCAGCATCCTCACCTCGCCAGGCGAGGAAGTTCCGGAAGCCCCCGCGACAAGCCCCCCGGCGCAGCCCCTCGAGCGGCTTCCCAACTCCCGGGCAGGCACCCGCCGCAGGCCGTCTGCGCCACTGCCTGATGCTGCTCAGCTGTGTTTTAAAAAACTGTTACCACACAGGGGCCTAACTCAAATACTTGTTTCGTATTATGATGCCATAATTTAAGTTAATTCAAACCTGGCTGGACTTTTATGCCGTTCCCCGGTAGGCTGCGAACAGGCAAAAGCTTAGGCCGCCTCTCCTGAGGTCCTCTCTCCCAGAATCTCCCAGTCGCTCCGCCCCACTCCGAGCCCGCCTCTTCCCGTGGGCGGGGTTACCGGTCGGCGCGGCCGGGGTCGCGCCACTGCGCAGCCGCGAGAGGGCGGTACCACGGCGGCTGCGACATGGGGGGGCGCGGAGCAGACGCCGGAAGTAGCGGTGGTACGGGTCCCACCGAAGGGTACTCACAGCCGGCAGCGTCCACCCGCGCCGCGGCTAGAGCCAAGGCCCGAGGGGGTGGGCGTGGCGGCCGCCAGAACACAACACCCTCTGTTCCCTCTTCTCGCGGAGCCGCGCCGCGTCGCTCCCCTCCACCGGCTGCCATGAGCGAGCGCCTCCGCCCCAGGTGAGACCACAGAGACCCCCTTCGTTCCCAACCCCTCGGCGGGGCTGGAGCCAAAAGGGCGCGCCAAGCGGGGGTCCGAGCAAGCGTGGGCCCTCCGGGTCTCCTTCTGGGCGCTCTGCGGCCCCGGGGGAAGAGGGAGAGGGATGCGCAAGTACCTGGTCCCTGAGGTGCTAGGAGGAGTGACTCGTTGGGTCCACGTCTCCCCCCACCCGCACCCCGTCTTTTTTTCCCCTAGTCTTTCCCTACTTGGAATGCAGTCTGAACGGTCCCGGAAGAGAGACAGTGGCCCTAAAGCTTCCCTGTCCTAAATTTAGGAGGGTGGGGGGATGGGAGGGATGTCTGATCTTTGAGAGGGAGTCCCTAGGACGTCTTTGAGGGGCAGTGGCGGGGAGCAGCCGTCTCCCCAAGGTCAGAAAGGATTGGGTTGAACTCTGCAGCAGGGAAGGATGGGGCTAGATGGAAGAATTTGTGCCCTCGGACGGTTGTGAACATAGAAGGGCAGACGACCAAAGTGACTTGGGGCATTGACAGGCAGGATTCTAAACTGTTTGGATACGGAGCCGTTTGACTCCGAAGGCGGGAGGTAGGGCTTGTATCGCGATGCTCTACTTTCCACAAAGCGTGGCCTCAGGACCCGGGTCTTCACCTAGGGGTGCTGTTCTTGCTTGCCGTGTGCAGAATAGAGTCGGATCAAGCTGCCTGCTTGCTTTCTTTTCTCGTTTCCTCCTGTAAGGGGGTGGGGAGGAGAAAGTTGGGATTGGGTACCCCAAATGAAGAGGAGCAACTTTACTTCAAATTAGAAAAATCCCTCGTGGGATTTGAAGTGAAAAACCTATAGATCGCCAAGTCCAACACTATCCCTTTTTTTTTTTTTTTAAAGATTTTATTTATTTGTCAGAGAGAGAGAGGGAGAGAGCGAGCACAGGCAGACAGAATGGCAGGCAGAGGCAGAGGGAGAAGCAGGCTCCCCGCCAAGCAAGGAGCCCGATGCGGGACTCGATCCCAGGACGCTGGGATCATGACCTGAGCCGAAGGCAGCTGCTTAACCAACTGAGCCACCCAGGCGTCCCAACACTATCCCTTTTCTGATGAGGAAACACTTAGAGACCTCAGCTGGTTTACGCGAGTCTTTCCAGGTTCACCAATCTTTCGTTATTTCCCCGGAGTCTCAGTAAAGCTCAAGAGAATAAAATAGGTTTGCCTTGGTAGATTATGCTGAATCTTGTTGTTCATATTTTCATTGGCTCTGAATGTAATTGACAGTCTTCCCACAAAGGTCTTGCTCTGGAGGATGGTTAATTAAGGGAAAGCATCCTGAGGTTATTTGGTCCAATAGGTCCAAAGATCTAGGTTGGCCCATACTTCTGCACTGGATTATTGATTTCGGTATATAGTGAGTGGGGCATAAAGCCTGCTTGTATAGAAAGTAAGAGTGGACTAGATTTGAACTTGGGGGCCGACTTGCTATTGGAATTAGGAACAAGTTCCTTAGGCAAGTTAAGCCAGATCCGTCATTGTTTTCCTTCCCAAACCCAGTTTATACTTCTGATAGTCTCTTGTGATGTCTCCTATCTGAAAAAGTCTAAATATTTCCTACAGAAATACTCCTTTTATCTCTCACTGGATAAGCAAACCTGAATGTGCTTATACTGGTAGCAGATGCCTTTTATCTAGTACACAAATAACCTCAACATGTTTATACTGGTGATTTCATTGCTATAAAAAAACCACGTGATTTGGACAGGGGTTTCTTACCTGCTTTTCACCCCATGTTTCATGGAGTATGATGGACCAGCCCTGCCAGCTCCTGTTGTCATAATATCTCCAAGTCGGATCTGTTTCCTCAACTTTAAGATGAGGGTTTGGTCTGAGATGGTAATTTTTCAGGCTGTTATAAAATATACTGAGATAACCATAGAGGAGTAGATGTATGTCAGGGAAACCCCTACTTTAACCAAAACAAGTCCTTTATTTCATATATATGTTGAATGATTTTTTTTTCCCTGATAGAAAGGTTTCTGTTACTATATTAAAAAAAAAAAGTTTGAAAAACACTAGTCTCCATACTCTTAAGATTTCTTTTATGCTCAGTGTCTAGGAGATGACTAGAAGACTGGAAAGAAATGAAATGAGCAGTGATGTAATCGGCCGTCCTTAAAAGTAACAGATGCTAAACAACAATCTGTAACTAGATGCCTGGGGAGAACATAATCAATTATATGGTGGCGGCTGAAATTATAACCTGGTCTGTGGCATTAATGTGGAAGGCTATAATCTGACTTTGTGGATACGGTTGAACATGAAACTGTAATCTTGGCAGAGGCATTAACAATATTGTTGAAAGAAGAATGTTTCGAGGATGGAATCTATAAAGAGCTTAGAAAAAGGAGAAAGAAGAACAGGAAGGCTCATTCTTAATCCATACCATCCAAAGGAGAGGGCCTCCTACGGGGTGATTGGGGTACCGTGAGAAAGCTGCTGCTGATGAGGCAGGGGTATTTCATGGGACTTTTCCCAGAGTTTAGTTGAAATCTGCAGAACCGGCCCATCCTCTCTGTACTCACATCCTTTTTGTCCGACAGCCTCCTTGACGTTCATTTTCTTGTCACTGCAAAGATAGGCCATGGATTATAAGTGAGGAAATTGGGCAGTTGGGGTCAGGCTCATAAGTGGTTAGAGTGGCTCAGCCGCCCAGAGCACAGTCAGCTGCTGGCATATTGATAAGGGAAGAGTTTGGGGACCAGCATTTGGTGAGTTTCCCTGGGGTGGCATGTGACATCTGTCAGATCTTGTTCTGTTAACTGCATCTCTTTTCCAAAAAGATTCTCTGGCCATATTAGGGTGAAAATAATTATTTGGTTCAAATCTGTGGTAATAGCACATCCATTTAAATGAGTATCAAACCTGCTTTTCACCTGGTTTTTAACCCCCACATACTTAAGAGTAATGTGCGGTTAAGATCCAGTGACCTGAGAGAAGGGTTAGGGAGCAGAAATGATGATCTTAGAAACAACTGAGTCTTAGAATGAGGTCACCAGAGCCCTTTGCAGGTTGGTAAGGCTTGATCAGAACCACCCACTCACAGTGTATTGTTCCAAGCCTGAGCTGGGTCTGCACTCGTTAACAGATGTATTCAGCGTACAGGAGTATCGCCAGATACAGGGCGTTGAGCTAAGGGTGATAACTTAGATGTTCTCCAGTATCAAGACTTCAACTCAAAACCTTGAGGATATGGGCCTGCCCTACCATGCCACACTACTGGCATAGAAAGTGTATGACTGTACAGAAGATACTCAGTGCTCAAATAAATACTTTGCTCAAATTCAGTACCTGCCCGAGAGCGGTCTTTCCTCTAGCTATAGAAACTTGAATCTTTCAGAGTTTTCCTTATAGTAGATTATGCTGCTTTGTATAAATTGGCCTCTTGCCCGTGCTGCCAGTGACTCTTTCTGTAGTGACGGGAATGCCCTGTGACTGTGCTGTCCAGTACAGTTGCCCCTAACTACCTGTGGCCTTTGAACACAGAAAATGTAGCTAGTGTGACTAAGGAACTGGATATTAAATTAAGCGTAAGTAACCTCATGTGGCTAGTGGCTGCCATATTGGATAGCACAGTTCCGGGCAGTTTGCCTTCAAATGATACCTCCTCTAATTTATTTCTATTTTCTGTCTCCTAAACGGGGCCGTAGACATCCTTCCAGGAGCAATTAATTCTTTCATTGAATACATACACATTTTGTCTCTTGCACATCTGAGAACACTGAGGTAAATGTGTGGATTTTCCTTAAACCTGAAAATTTTGAGCAGCTTATGCTGCAAACTCTAATAATTTGGTGACATAACATACAGTACTAGGTGGTGCGGAGAGAATAATGGAGTTAACGTGTGGCAGAGCAGCCTTTCCAGTGACAGTTGGGAAGAGTGATCTAATGCTTTAGGGGCACTGAGCTTTTGTTGCATGTAATAACTGGGGGGAAATCAGGGATGAAAAAAAGCTGCAGATCAGAGACCGCACGAATCTCTGATTCTATCTCTGTGTAGCACCATTTTTGTGAGGATTTTAGGGGTACGCGGGCAGAGACAGCCACTCCTGACTTACATACTGTCCTGTGGAAGGGAGTAAGATGAGGTAATCTGAAATGGTTATTTCAGGAAACACAGAGGGAAGATAA